CAGTCTATTGCATCACTGTAGCTCAGGTAATGACTCACTACTGAATGATTTGGTAATTTGCTAAACTCTAGACAATTTCAATAATAGCATTCTAGATACCCCCCCCCTTTTTTTTTTTTCTGAACCAGTGAAGGTTGCTAAGTTACAGAAACGTACTTATCTACTACATCAGTTGTAGGCACTTCAGTGCAAAGAAACAATCTTACACACCCACATCATAAAAATAAACATTTTATTAGTATGTGCTATAAGGAGATGTATTTTATTATAACCCAATCTTAGTTCTGACATTTGGGCTGTGTTTTATTTTGCATATCAACATTTACCACTTTTTTTTTTTTCCTAAGTATTTTAAGGATCTAAATGGGAACGTAGCACTTTTGCAAAACTTCATTTAATTTCTTGGTTATTTACAGCTATTTTTTTCTTGAAAAAATGGCACAGATTTTGATAGAATATTTTATTGGTGTCAAGATTTTCCTAAAAACTGTACACTTTCCTTTGACACAAAGTGAAATTAAAATGGATCTTAAGTGTTTCTACTTCAGACATTTCCCGGAATTTAATGTAAATTTTATAAATAGTATTTGGTCAGAATGATAATGTGGATGTTGTGACAACACATCAGTTGTACAGACAGATATAAACATGTTTTGTATTGGCAGTGTATTTCCACTATCACTATCTTGATTTTTAAATGTTTTTAAATCTATCTTCGCAAATAACTGGATAATTTTTTAACACAGCTGCAGTGAACAACTTTATATATTTTGTTTTACAGGGTGAGGGTTTCCCGTGACTTATGAAAGCATTAATATTTAATTGGAAACACATACATTTTATCAAACTATATACAGAAAGTCATTAGAATATTAAAACAAATATATATGTCATTGCAATATTAAAAAAAAAAAAAAAAGGCTACAGGAAAAACACTGCCAACCAGTAGCTTGGGTCTGTTACAGAAAGATCAGTGAAAAGGCACAGTCTAGGAGTGATACATCATATCTAGAGGTCTGTAATAACCAGCAAAAGTATACTCATCAGTGAGAACACCTGGCATATATGTGATATAATGCAATAAGCAATATGACCTAACTTTGGTCATTGAAAGAATGAGTTGTATAGAATGAATAGCTTCCCTCTAAAGGTATGTTTAGATAATTGTGGGCAGTTCTCAAGGACCTTACCATAATTGCCCTTCAAAAAAACCTTTTGCATGAAAATGTATCAAAATCTCTTTCTACGATTTTTTTTTCAGTACTCTGTAAATAAAAGCTGTTACTAAAGTATTGGTTGAGAACTAAGTTCCTGAGCTTCAGATGTATGCAGTTCTCAGCCATTTAGACTGAAACATGATTCCTGTTATTGAAAGACTGAACTCAATCTCTAAATTATAACTTGACAATGAAATCAGCATGCATCTACACACTCTATCCTCCTTCCTCTTTCTTTGCCACAAATACAATAATTTTGTGCTTAATAGGAACTAATAACATTCCCTATTAAATCAACATACAGGCATAAAATATATATATATAACATAAAATCACTGAAGTATGTGTTTAAACCTTTTTTTTTTTCAAACATGGCTTAAGATTAGTAAAAACAAAGAGAGCAAATCTTCTCACAAAAAATGTAATTAAAAATATTAGTTTTCTTTAACCATGAATCTGTATCATCTTCCAGTTTCCACTGATCACTTCTTCTCAAAGAAGATGGACAAACATTGCAATTCCCTTGCAGTTTTTCTGATACTTGTTAAAGAGATTGTATTAAAAGATTGTAAAGAGTGAGACATACCAAGTCTTTTAACAAAATTGTTGTAAATGTAAATGCTTAAATAAAGCTGGAGTACTTGCTTTCTCAGTATTAAGCTGCAATGCCTTTCCTCTGAAAATTCTTGTGAAATAAAACAACAAGTGATGATACATTGCTGGTTTTGTATTCATGTTTGTAACACTGGAAATAAAAAGTATTTACACTATTTTTTTTACATCTATTTGACTTACATTTCCCATGACTTCAACACATCTAAACAATAGTTTCTGTTCAGAAATTATCGTGTTCTTTCTTTAAAATCAACACTTAGAATCAACTAAATTATTTTACCTAACGCTTAAGCTCAGTTATTGGCATAGCTGACATGCTTTTTACTTAAAACTTTTCTTATCAAAGTAAATGAACAAACTCAGAAAGAATGGGAGGTCTCTGTAGGATCTGAAAAATGTTACTTTCCCTCTACACTCTAAGTGCTCTATGCTAACTGAATGCCAGGATTTATCCTCTGAGACTGCACCTGTAATAGAGGTCAACATCACTGCACGTGCTTTCCAGGTCTGACATTCTAGCAGAACGCAGTGGTGTGTATACACATCATGGACGAACTGTCTGGCACACAGATACAGCATACAACAGACTTCAGACTATTCTTGTTTCAAGTCGATAGAAACTTTTTGCATGTGATTTCGGTTGGAGCAATGGCACACCCTATCTAAATAAATGGCATAACTATTATTTTAATTTCCTTTTAGATATTAACTTTGCCAACAGCAATGGTAGAACAAGAGATCTGTGTCCCTGATTGTATGGGAATAAATCTGGTTTCTGATGAGCTTATTTCTCTTTGATATACAGCCTTTAACATGAGTTTCTGTTTTCCTATTCAAGGTAAGTCTGCTTTCAGACGTCTGTCTGTGGGTTTAATCATTGTTTCTACATCTCTGTTTACTCAAAGGTCTGAATACTGGGACTTTGTTGGAAGAAGACGTAGGCATTAGAGTCACTAGGCATCACACATTTTCCTTGAAAATCACCACTGGTGGGGTGATGTCACCCCATGTCACTATATCAGGAAATATGCAAGCATATTAATTTAAAGTCACATCCTGCCACTCTTTCACCAAGCAGAATTTTAGTCTGTGAGTAATGTCCCTCTACAGTGAGGTACTTCTCAATATAATACAGAGAAGAAAAAGCAGACCATTACTGGGGCTTAAAGAATATACCTTCCTAACAAAGCAGCTGTGACATAAATTTATTTTTACAGAGTTTTAAGGCTTATCTTGCCTTTGATAAACAAATCAGAAAGTAATACGAGTCACATAAATATATTACAGGTGGATATTAATAGAAACACAAAGGCCCCAGCTCAGTAATCCTTGTTGTCAGTGAGCAGTACCTTACTTTCTGAGTAGCTGGGTAGTTCTCAGACAGTAGAGATAACCTGGTCTCAAGTGAACCACGGCAACTTTCAGAACTAGCAAAGCAATACTTTCATTTCTGCATCAGGCTTCAGGCTTTATTTAGGTGAACAAAAATCATGACTCCCACTCCTCAGACTGAAAGCTGGATGTATTTCCAAGGGAAATCCTCTTGTATAACAATGACTTAATGGGTAAAATGTAAGATTTACTTTATAAAATTCTATAGACTATACCAAAAGGTATAGAAGCCTGTATAAAGTTGCAGCTATGCCCTGTAGCTTTAAAGTCTATTAATCTATACGCCATGTTATATGTCTCTTGTCAAGCTACTTGTGTTTTTCTCCTTTCTGCAATAGTTAAAATATATCAGTCAACAGTATGTTCAATACATGCAGGTCTAATATAAATCAAATTTCTTTTCTTATATACAGAAAATGGTTTAATTTACATATTAGTCCTGGAATTGCTGTGAACAGTAGCACATCATGCTGAGACATTTTTGTTGCTTAATACTTATTTATATCTGTTCTGAGAACAGGAAATTTGAAAGTCCAGTTCTTTTAAAAAACTCATTATGCAATAGTACTTTACAACATCAAATTGAAGTAATACTTCAGGATACCAAAGGAGGTATGGAATTTATATTGACTTACAAAGAAAATCTAGTGTCTAAGTAGGGATTGAAGGTGTTACAAAGATTTAGTCTCTAAATACAAAATAATAATAAAATGCTCTTTTAAATGGCATGGAGGTGGAGAATAAAGCTTATCATGTTACCTTAATGCTACATTCTGATTTTTAACTGTAATAGAAATTTCCACTAAAAATAAGGGGAAGAAAAGCCACATGTTGTACATATGCCAAAGTGGTATCTGTAGTTTCATCTCTTTGAAACACACTTGAACACGAGCTTACTGCCTTACCAGTTAAGGATGCAGACCACTCTGGTAGATAATCAGACCTGAAATCAAAGAGATCACATTGACAATGTCCTCATGATGCAAAATGGAACTTTGCTTCTAGTGTCCAGTCAAGTGCAGCCGTACTAAAATAAATAAATAAATAAATAAATAAATATCCCTACAGTTCTGTCTTGCAAATAATGCACCACTCAAACAATTAGAGGTCCATATATTGAAGTGGCAAACAATCAGACAAACCTGTCACTATTGGAGAAACATGGGTCAAGTTTTTAAGTATTTTCATTATGCAAGCAAAACACCGGAGGATGTGTCTGGAATATTTTGTGCCCAACTCCTCTTCCACTCTGCCAACCCCATCTGCACCCTAAGGTGACTCCCTTATGCAGAACTTCAAATACTAACTCGAGGACATCGCCATGGAGACTCCAAATGAAAAAGCTCAACAACCTGGTCCCTCTGAGCACACTTTATTATTACCCTGAAGGCTACTGAGCACCGGTGGACCTCCTAGACCGGGTTTCACACCGATGCATCCCTCCGCTGCCCTGGGACAGGGCGGGGCATCGAGCCGCGGAGGTGAGGGGGAGAGAAGAGACCCTGGGCCCCTTCCCTTCCCTTCCCTTCCCTTCCAGATGCTGTCTCAGGGCTCCTGAGGGCTCCCCCATTTCCCTCCTCGGGGAAAGCCGCGGGGAGACGCCGGGCCGGGATGGCTCCGGCGGCGGGGCCGAGGGAAGGGCGGCTCCGTGCGCTCTTCACCTGTGGGCGTGACCGCCCTCCTCCTCGTCTTCCTCCTCCTCCCCCGCCTCCTCCTTCGTTTTACTTGAAGGGCCGGCGCTGCTCAAGCTGCAGAGCCTGCGAGCGGAGCCGGTGGCCGGGGAGAGGAGGACGCCCACCCGCCGACCTTTGTAAAGTGTCCGGCTGGGAGCTCCCAGCGCAGGAGCAGCCGGAGGGGGGAGCTCAGGCTGGGTTCTCCACCGGGTGGACGCAGCGCCCGTCTCCACTGCCGTCCTCCTCTTCATCCTCCTCTGGGGGATCGCCCTCGGCCCTCCGCGGAGCTGACCGGCGGAGCCGTGCCTCGCCGGAGGGCGGCGGCGGGCGCCCAGGTGCCCTCGGCCCTCCGCGGCCATGGCGCTGTGCGCTGTGAGGCGGTGGGCGCCCTAAAGCGGCTGTGGGGCGGGCGGTGGGGCGGAGGAGGCTGCCCCTCACGGCCCCGCCTCGGCCCGGGGCCCTCCTGAGGAGGTCCCCCTCTCCCGGGGGAGGGGGAAGAAAAGCTAGCGGGACAACTTCTGGAAATTAACAAGGAGGGGAGGAAGAAGGAGGAGGGAAAAAAAAAAAAAAATCTTCTGTGGGACATCCTCAAAGCTCAGCATCACGCCGGGTGTCTGAGTTTGTATAAAGCCCGCCACGCTTGTGAGCATCGCCACAGCGGCAGGAGGAAAGCCTGGCTGCGGCCGCTGCACCGAAGTCCTGCGTGCTTCAGAGGCGCCTTGGCTTTCTGGCAGGAAGATGCTTCCTGTAGCAGGACCGTGTTGCTCCTGAGGGGCTGTGGAAGATGCTTGCCTTTGGGATTACGCTTGGAGAAAGGCCATCGGTCAACGGGAGAGCTGGCTGGTGAAACTGTCTGACTTTCTCCCCCTCAGGGGAAGTGGCTTCAATGGCTCCAGCTCCCAGGAGAAGCAGCAGGAAAGATGCCAACGCCTTGCCAAGCATGTCCTCAACTTTCTGGGCTATCATGATCCTGGCCAGTCTACTAATCGCTTACTGCAGTAAGTACATATTTGTCCTGGTGATTTTCCTGGACATAAATCCACGCCCTTCCTGTCTGAGGTGATGCTTCTGGCAGAGGCCGAGGTCTGAGGCTGACAGGCGTAGGTACTGTGCCTCAGGCTTACTGCCTCAGCCCTTTTCCCCCCACGGTAAAGCAGGGAGACCGACTCTTTAGCACTGCTGTTTCTTGGGAACATAAGGTGCCTTTAGGTTGTGGATGTGGCATTCCCACTCCAATCAGGAATGCTTACTGGATCTTAAGAATGAACTTTTCAGTTGCAGTAACAGTGACCCAGCGCTGGCTGTTTGTTATCAGATAGTACCAGCTCTTCCCTGCACTGCTTCACACACACACACGCACTCCTACTCCAGGCCACATTCCATCAACAGGAGATATTTTGTTTATGTTAATTCCTTATGGAAGAACATACTTAGTCAAGTGACAGATGTCTTTACATTACTGGGATCATCATGATCCTTTGAATGTGAAATTGCACTGGAGCAAGCTCTGGAACTTCCTAAGTGCATCCTCAACAGTTCAGTGAGCCTATGCTATCAGTTTTAGAGGTGCTTCACAGGTTATTGGTAGAGTTTTGCATATTATTTTTCAGGGTTGGTAGATTGTCTGTCAATCACACTGATTTACAGATAAATCTATAAGAGTCAAGTACCTGGAATATTAATACCTTTAAAGGTTGTAATTTTATTTATTTATTTATTTTCTCAGCAAGTGTAATTTTCAAGCAGCTGTGCAATATAAAAGCTATTATTGTCTGTATGTCTGTGAAATGCAAGTTTGTCTATAGTACCGGGATGAGATTTTTTTCAACAGGAAGAATGAGGAAAAAAAAAATGTTTCTATGCTACAATAATAAAAAATGTAATTTATCAAGAGGGGCCTGCACAACTTTGCCAGAGTGAATCTACTCTGTATTTTCCCAACCTGAGTTGAATATGGGCTCTAATTTTCCCATAGTGTGCATTCCTTTCCTTTGCTGTAGCATACAGGACTTTACTCTAGGCTTGTCTTGTTGGGCTGTAATAAGTGGTGGTTATGATGACTAGGAAATGATTCTGGTTTTCAGGAGCATGCCTGCTGCATTTCTTAACCCTCTATTCCATTGCCTCCAACTGTATCATATTCTCCAATGCTTTTTTTTTTTCTTTTTTTTTTTTTCCTGAATTAAAAGATTGTAATTGCCCAAGAAAACCTCTAATTCACTTCTTTGCATGTTATAGGGACTAGTACTGACAACAGTGAAAGAGGCTTATTCCAAAAGGAATAGCATATTTTGTAATTACTTCTTGTAATTTAACACATTTTGCATTACACTTCTCATTAAAAATCATATCAAACAGGCCACACTTTTAAATAATTTCATTTTGTACATAATGCCATATTCAATATGTTAATATGGAGGCTATACTAAACAACACGTAGATTTAAAAGAATTTATATTCATACTGAGAGATAAGTGCTTCAGTAAAATCATATTAGAGGATGCAAGTGCAAAGGGAATTCAGCTGGATGATAGCAATGCAAAATATTTCCTTTAATTTGTGTTAGAAATCTCTGGAGAGTCCTAGGCTTTTTATGAGATGATAAGAATTGTTCTCTGAATATATCTTCTCTAAGCATAGCATCAGAAAGGGTTAACCATAAACTCTGACTGATCACCTCTATTCAGTGATGAGAGGTCTGACATGTTCGGTTTTAAGAAGTGAAGTTATTCATTTGAATTGTTACGTCTTGTTCTTTATTTTTGGCATTGTTTACTGATGCTGAACAATGTAGATGTTAGCTGCTAATATGAAGACAATTTCTGTTGTGTCTGAATGGCCAGTTCCTAATTGCTTCTCTCAGCCAGCATCGTTGATGGTCCTGAAACATGTAGTATGGTCTTCATGTCATATAGTGCTGAAAAAAACACCATGCAGCTTAAAATATGCAGTGTCAAAACACTCCACCATTTATGCAATGTTTCACTGATTTGACAACTGCAATTCCAAATGTTAATGAAGCACCATGAACATTTCATCTAGCTGTAGTATTTGAAAAATTGCAAAAACATTTTTTGCTCTGTGGAAAGGCTGAGGATGTCTAAAAAATAATAATAATAAAAAAGAAGTGCAGCACTTTCTAGGTAAAATAGTACTTAAAAATTTTTGATTTCTTTTCAAAATCACATAGTGATCTTGCTTATTCAATTTTTATTTCATTAGATGCCTTATTTCTTGAGAAAAAGCATAGCAGGGGTGTGGGAAATGACAACTAGTTATGTTTTAAGAGTAACAGCTTCTCAGTATTTCATATAAAGTAAAGGAAAACCACCTGACCAGGTAAGGTGTTTTGTATTTTTCTATACACCTTATACTCAAGTACATGGAAGTATACTGACTTATATTTCATATATAAAGCAGACTTATATTAAAAAAATAAATCTATTACTAAAGTAATAGCAGGAACCTCATATCTTATTATCTCTCATTGTATCATTTTACAATATTTACATCAAACCCTGTAGCTCCCAAAAAAAAAATCAGAACTTTTTTTATAGCATTATAAATAAAACTTTTGATTTACCTTGTTTATTTTAGTTTTTTAATATAGTAGTCAGAAAAAGCTTTTTCCTGAATCAATTATATAGATATTTCTTCCCCTAATTACTTTGTGTAGCTTTTGTTTATGGGAATGTATTTGTTGTTCAATAGTTGTCCCTATTACTGGGAGCATCTAGTAAACACCATACTCCTAAGTTCCAATTGATAGCTAAACAGATAGTTATAAAGCCTGTTCTGGCTGTATGTGTACAGTCCATTAGACTTTAATTTATACTTCAGTTTCTGAAGCACAATTATGTTCTTTGTCAAATCACTTTTTCTTTCTTAAATGTTTAGATTATAGTGAGGGATAGTGGCTCCATCCTATGGTAGGAAGAGAAACCTGCATCGAATCAGTTAGGTTAGTTGCTATAGTGATGAATAGAATGTAATCTCCTGCCAAAGAAAAGTGGTTCTATTTGGTAGGTTCTCAACGAGAGAAGGCAAATGTGAAGTAGTAAATTATGATGTTTATATACAAAGTCCACTTGTGTGACTACCAAGGAGTTGGTTTACTTACCAGAAGCATCAGTAAATGTAAAAACAGTCTAGATAGGCTATCCTAGTAGAAGGGGGAACACTTTCAGTTGCAATTCAGAGTTAGGAGCTGTGGTAATTTTGGATCCCAGACATACTTGTTTAATGGTCAGTAGTAGACCGCACAGAAGTACGTGAAATGAATTCTTTCAGTTACTGTCTTAATTTTGTGAAGGTACACGGAACTGCTTTTTTCCTTTTTTCTTCTTTTCTAACTGAGTTTTACATCTTTTTATCCATGTTAGAAAGTTCAGCCAAAGTAAGGAAAAAAATCTATGATATCACAGCTGTATACTACATCAGAAATCCAAATGATGTGTTTGATTCAGAATCAATTTTTAGTGCATTTATTCAGTTAGCTTGGCTGAAAATACAGAGGTCCTTTTAATATGTAAATAATGACTTTTTAAACAACAAATGATTCAGCTTTACTAAAGTTATCGCTGTTGTGAGCTTTTGACTTTCCATATTTTTTTTTCCATATTTTGTACTGTTTTGAAAGCATTAGGAATAGAACATTACACCCCTGTGGTGTTATAGGCTTTGCTGGTCTATTAAAGTCATACTTTTAAAGGCAGTATCAAAAGCAAGCGGTACTTGGAAAGTTCACCTTCATGTTTTAAATGTTATGCTTCAAAGAGAGCAATATGAGGCCCAGTATTTATGCGAAGTAATGAACTTCTAGATTTTTTTAATTATCAAAATGCAGAATATTTCATGTATCAATACAATTGTGCATCAAAAGTGCAAGTTCATTCATGCTATTGATAAATCAAGCCCTCAGCACAAATAAAACAAAAACAACAACAAAAAAAAAACCTGAAAGACTTTGGTACCATTCAAAATGAAGATAATTCTTTATATATATATATATATACATACAGGTGTGTGTGTGTGTATATATACACATCTCATTCTAGATTGAATTCATATTGTTATATGTAGAGTAGACACTGCTCACTTGAGAAATACCTTTTCATCATCCTCTTCTGGAATTACTTGTTGTCTAGAAATCAAAGACTACTGCAAATAAGTCACCTCTGAATGAAGGGCTGCAGCTCTTATTACTGACCCTATATCATTCAGATCTTTCTCTTTTTTTTTTTTTTTTTTTTTTTTTACAAATGAAAAAGATTAATAAATCTGTACAACAGATCTGTAGTTTTATTAGTTTTTCTATGAGAATTACTGTGCTTGTATTTTTCCAAAACTCTGCACTCAGAATTAATGTGACATAGAGTAACAGTAATAATTCAAACTTTGTTTCAGTCTAGTTGGTGTATAGAAATGAAAATTAATCTTTTGTGACATTAAATAAGAAAAGCAAGATATTAAAATTTTGTTTCTTTATAAAGTATCTGCTGCTTTTTTTTTTTTTTTTTTAAAGAAATCTATTTATTTATTTATTTTAAATTAAAACCTTTGCTATAGTCTTTGTGGCCTCTACAATGCACCATTATTTGTCAGTGTTAGTACCAAACTGACACTGAGGTTGTCTGACCAGTTATGCTGCAGTCTGTCCAGATGATCTTTACATACGGTTATTGGCATCAACAAAATAAATGTATTTTTATTGCTTTTATTATTGAAATTAACCCTTTAAGGTTGAATAATCAATATTTACAATTTCTCAAGTATATTTGAATTCTGATAACTACTACCTCCATGCAAGTACACAGGTAGGTACAATGGGAAACAGAGGAAAAACTAGAAACAGTGGGATATTTTTAATTAAATCTATGGCATAGAATTCTCCATTCTCCTAGAACCCCAGTAGGGTTGTAGGAGAGATCAAGATTTATTTTCCTCTCCCCTTATGCAGTATACTATATTTTTCAGAGGATATACTGCAAAAACAGTA